ATGCTAATGATAACAGCGATTTGATTCTTGAAACTCACTTATGGCCTCCTGTTTGCTTTAGTAAAAACTGTTCTTGAGAAGTCTCCCTTGTCTGGGTAATAATGGTGATTACTGGATACCCCACTTGCTCAATCCATGTGCTCATGAAGGCTTCCACATCTTCTTTTGTCTCCTGATCATTGTGGGAAGTATTTGTCATTATCTTCTCATATCATTTCAACTTGAAGATATATAGGTCCTTAATTTACCTCTTGCAAGCAGTTCCAAAGATCTTTGTACACAGTGTTGTTGTACTGGAACTTGTAAAGATACATCTACAATACATACAAGTAGCAATTATGCAGTCAGTCCTGACCATACCTTAAAGTCTTCATAAATACATAAAATATTATAATACATAAAAGCATAAATTATGTTATGGAAGCCATATTATACCATGAAAGGTCCTAGTTATAAAAAAAATAAATACAATGTTTAAATAATTAATATGGTTTTATAATATTTAAAATATGTATACATAATATAGTTGAGTTGGGGATTAAAATGAGCTACTTCAATATTATTAAAAAATATGAATTATTATATCTACATTTTCCCCCATTTCGACTTACCTTGATTCCTCGGTCCTCGGTCATGAATGTGGCCAGCATTCTCAACACAGCAGCACCCTAAAGAATGTACAGAGCTTGAAGGTTTCTTATAATCATAAAGGATCGCTTTGTAAAATATATTATTGTGCAATATTGTATTGTAACAATTTTTTGTAAATGAAGCTTATCAACATCAGAAATGCATTGATGCCAACCTTTCTGTAGGTGATATCATCAAAAAGGTCTATGATCTCAGAGAAAGTTTGAATATAATTTTCCTGCAAGCTGAGAGGATGGGAAGAGTTTAAGGAATCCACTTGAAAGGCGGTCTGGACTTCTCTGAGAACAATCACATCTCTCTGAAAACACAAATGCATCATATCATCAGAGGAGGTTGAGGGATGCAGAGTTTTAATTTAATGAACTTATGGCCAATGTAGCTGTCAACAAATGAAAAAGAAAGAAAGAATTAACCATGGGTTTATTGATAAATCATTGTTCTAAAATAAACAAAAACATACTAAGTCCCAGCCAAGTTTCCAAACCACTGAAATCAAGCACAGGTATGAAATGTAAAGATGATTTAGTTAAAGACTCATCATTTAGGCGTTCTTAGCCACAAGTTCTAGTGGATGATCTAATGTTCTGTTCTGTAGACTTGCAGCAAAGAAAATGCTAATAATAAAACACAATGAACTATCATGCTATATGAAAATAAACAGGCTAATCAAAATGTGAAAAAAGAACATGCTTCCTATATATTTGCCTACCATTTTATTATTTACATGGTCAGTTAAAATGGTACATTATGGTAATATCATGCTTTGTTTTGTTATATTATACATTATGATATTAAATAAATGGATATGTTTACCTGATGTGCTAATTCATGAGAGATCATAGTGGCCACCCTCTCTTGATCAAATGTCGATGCAGTTTCTTTATCATATAGCAGACCTGACTCCTGATATGAAATGAAACCCCAGTTTTCCATTGCTCCAGCACTGATGTCTGGCAAAGCAGTCTGGTCTGTAATAAAACAAATTCAGCACGTGATCTTGTGAACCTTGAGTTTGTATATCTCATTTTAGTTTGTTCAATTTAGGACAGTTCACACAAAAATGAAAATTCTGTCATTTGCTGACCTTCATGTTGTTCCAAACCTTTTTTTTCATTTGTGAAACACAAAAGAAGATATTTTGAAGAATGCGTTTGTCCATACAATGAAAATCAGAGGGCTCCCAAACAACCTTGGACCCCATTTAACTTACAGTGTATGGATGCAAAAACACTTTTTAAAAATGTATTCCCTAAAAAAATTAAGTCATACATGTTTGGAACAATTTGAGGGTAAATAAATTATTTATTTTTATGGCTGAACTATAATTTTAATAAGTGTCAAACTTCATCCACACGTATTAATGCATGCAATCAAAATAATCCACATAGAAATAGTGAGTGGGGTTCCTTTCCATTGACACCTATTTTTTTTAGTGGGTATTTAAATCCAAATATATTCTGATAGTAAATCATAATCTTCTCTGTTACTTCAATTGCGTAGTCAGCATGGCCAGCATTAATAGCATCACTCCGAGCATGTATCTTGGAAATACATATAATTTGTGAAATGTTAATAAATAAATAAATAAATAATAAGCAGACACTCAAGTGCCTTAAATTAAAAATAAAAGAAACGTACATTTATGTTGGTACCGGAAGATTTTGATTTATACGTAAAATCAGATACAGTGAAAGCCAACAGATAAGTTGACATTATGGGGGTCTCCGCAAATGTAGTCACAATCCATTCTTCTCCATCTATTTCTGTCGTATCTGCCTCTAATGATAAAACAAAAATAGAAGTTATACTGAACAATATTACCTTGATTTTTTTTTAAGTTTAAGTCCTTTGCAAATAAGCAACAGTCTGTTTGTTGCTTTGATATTTATTGTTATCTGTATTAGAGACAGGAGGACTAAATATCTATATGAAATCATCTTTCAGTACAGTGAAATTCTGACATGGTCAAGTCTAATATTAACTAGTACGGATCCTAACCTCTTATTTCATTGGATAGGGCAACAGTGCCAGGTCTGTGGATAATAGTAATATGAAACAGCCTTCAGCGCGGGCTCATCAAAGCACGGAAACACTTTCCTGGCATCTGGGGGTTGCAGCAGACTGGTGGCAAGGAATCTGTTTGTGGAGACATTTTTATGCAAAACAGTAAATAAAAATTAACAACAGTAATTATGTTCGAATTTTCTGGATTTGTGTTATTTGTCATAAAAAATGTGTGATATCCACTTGTAAAAACAACAGTGACCAAACCAAATACATGGAAATATATGAGGTGTTTCTTCGGTTGATATAATTAGACATGCACATTCTGTCAGTGAAGTTCCTCTGTGTGTTTTAACTGAACTGAAAACATATTTGAAAAGCAACATTTGAAAGACAAAAATATAAATTATATATATATATATATATATGTGTGTGTGTGTATATATATATTATTATTATTTTTATCTTCTCTGTTTACCAGCTCACATAAAACCCAGCCAAGTTGTCAAGAAGTTCCCCTTCGAATTTGGTGAAAATATCATAGTAGGTCCCATTTCCAGACATTGTTTCCTTGAGTTGGATTTTGAGGAAATTACTTTCATTTTGATGAATTTTATATCCTCTCACTGATAATTTCTCATTTGAATCAGATTTTGTCACTTCCACAGTCATCACATTTAGGTTGTGAACATGAAGAAAGATGCTCTTGGAGTCTGTCATACACTTTACTCTTACAGTTGAGTTCCCCGTGAAAACTAATGATTGGTTTGTATAGTTGTTAGTTACCGCTGCGTAAAGGTACGGTTGGAGGAAGACTTTGTAGCTCTCAGGAATCAAATTGTCAGGAATTCTGAGAGTCGGTTGAAGTCCTGTTGGAATAACCAGAGGTTTAGTTGGAGTCGGTGGACTCACTGGAGGGTATTTATCTATTTGAATTTTGTACATCACAGCCATCAACACTAAACCACAAACAGAAGAAACCGTGAGGACCCCAATGCCGACAGCCAAGGCTTTAGACATGCCAGTTCCTTTGGCCATTTCTAATCCTTCTGAGAAACCTCCAAGAATGAATTAAGCTAGGAGAACTTGCTGTATGTTTTTAAACTCTGTACCCTCTCGCAGATCTTGACAATATATGTGTTGATAAAGGCGTCAAGAACCTATACCACGCCTAGAAGAGTGCATTTCAAGATTACACATTAACTAGCATGGATGAGCCAGAAACAAACAAAACGATGGTACTTCACATGTATTGTGTCCCATCACACTTTGCCCCACATCTGGAGCAAATGGCTGCAATATAACAAAGAGTGAAAAATTTAAGGGGGTCTGAATACTTTCCGTACCCACTGTATAATATCTATTATGTAGTTCAAGGTCAGAAAACAAAAACAAAAGAGAGTTTTGTTGCTGAGAAAATTGATGCATCAGATGTTAAAGTACATTTTTTTTAATCACCGGAACCAACTAATAAACCCATGCTGATCTTCTTGAGTCCATCTTATGTTCTGCCAGAGACCTTCAGACCTCAGTGATGAGACATCCAGCTGTTTGGGACCTTGGCAGAGGTGCTGCCCGGAAGCTTTTCCAGAGTTCTCTGATGACTCAAAAAAGAAAAAAAAGGTGACTAATTTCTGAGCCTTTTGTACTACTATATCAGTATGTCTTTGAGTGAAACTTCTAGTGTGTTTTCTTAAGGGTTAGGGGAGGGGACTCTTGTGCTAATTTTTTTTAACCTGACCCCACCTTCCAGTTTTATTCTCAAAGTTTTTTTTGGGGGGGGGGGGGCTCTTATAAAAATTATCAAATGTCCTGTGGAATCTACTTTTTAGAATGAGATAGATAGATAGATAGATAAAAACTTAACTATACTCTTTAGCAAATCTCAAAATTAACATTCATTTTTCATACTGTGAATAATTGTCATGCCTAAATTCACTTGTAGCACCTTAAATGATTAATTTCATTGATTTTAGTACACTATTATTAAGTAGACAAAATATTATAGAAAAATATTAGCCATTTATAATAATAATAGATAGACTATTAAAACTTTCACCCTTTAAATTCAGAATATAAAGAGACTTTCCTTTCAAATGTACATGATGTTGGAAATCAAACCTGCCTCTTTGAAACTGAAATTGACTAAATAACATTTTAGAATTATCTTGAAATGAACTTACAAAAATAACATTTATATATTAACATTGATGGGAAGGAACCCGAAAGCGACAGTGGACCATTTTGTAGCACAAAATTTTGAATAAAAAAATTTACATTTTTTAAAAACAAGCAAAACAACACACATATTATTTAGTAAAATCATATTAATTTATTGTAGCGGTTTCAATTCCAGCCAGTACACAGAATTCATTTATCAGTGCAGACTGCTGTTTTTAGGGGTGGCAAGAAAGAAACACAACAGCTAGAAAAGAAAAGGGTATGGTGCCATCCTGTGGACGAGCATGAGATACTGCATACAAATCAAATTTTCATCCATTGGGTTGTTTACAAGGAAATGCAACTGCAAATCAAAAAAAAAACTATTATTAATAAAAAACCTTCTGTGCACATGAAATAAATTATATGATTGGTCTATTGGTTTTTAAGGCTAAAGGCAATATTTTTATTTCATAAAATAAAAGAAAAAACTCAGATCACAAACGTCACTGAAGGCAGACTGTCTTAAAGGTTTATATTACATAAATGCTTGGCATGAATGCTAAGCATCTGATCTCAGTCAATCTATGCTTATTTATTGGTCAGCTGATACCTCATAATGTCAAGAATGTATTATCAGTTCAAGTTTTACTCTCATTACTTCTGTAGAAAGCCCTAAACTCAATAACTCTCCTTTTAATTATATTATATAAGACATTTGCATCAAATATGGATAAACATGAAGATGCAACACAATACATATTTTCACTCATGTGAAAATACTTAAAATACCCAATTCTAGGCTTGATAAAAATTTAAATCCTTCTATTTTAATTCCAGTTTATGAAAGAAAATTTTAAATTAAATTGCCGGAAGAGAAAAAAGTTGTCTGTATTGTCTCAAATATAGATTATCAGGAATGTCATAACTTTTGGTCACGGAAAGCTGAAAACACTGAAATAAAATCTAGTTAAAGACAAAAATACACACAAAATAAAGGCAAAAAGCCCTCTATTTTTTGATGATTCCTACTGAAACACAAAAGGACTGAAATGTTTTAAGGAATTAAAGTTCTTGTCAAAGTGATCCACACTCCACTGCCACAATCTGCTTTATCCTCCTCTTTGCACAATAGAACAATTTTCCTGAATTCACCTGAGCTCCTAAAAAATGCACACACTTCAACCTGGAACATAAACCTTCATAGCACAACACAAGCCGAAACTCCTAAGCATAATTGTATAGTTAAGAATCTGGACATATATTTTTAACTAGAGAGGATCAGCAGAAGTGTGTTATCGGATTATATTTTTGGTCCTTTTAATTTTTCTACATGGTTTTCTTCAGGATGTGGCTGTGTCCCTTTAGGCCATTATGTGTGGCCTGTAATTGTTTAAGTCTCGACTTCACCAAAGCCAGCTGTCTAAATGCTGAAGACAGTAGCAAGACTGCTGGAGGATTGACGTCAGCTCTCTGTAACTTTGCTCTTTCCAGCTGGGAAGGAGTCTTTCATTGTTAAGGGCCTGAAGTTTGGGTGTCCCTTCACGTAAGACCTGATACAAGCAGGGCCATCGGCTCTGTATCCTTAGCCGAGTCCGGCGGTCCAGAGTAATGCCCCGAACGATTTTTTTCGCCCGCAGCTCTCGTAGCGCTGGGAGGTTGAGGCAGGAGAAGACCAGACCTCGACTGGGTGACACATCAAGGAACTCGAGCGAAAGGGATTCAAGGGTGTACGAGATGCCTAGATTTCGCAGTGGAACAAGAACATGGAGCGTGAGGGATTTTAGATTAGGCAGCGATTTCGCCAGCATCTGTAAAGTGTTCGGACTGACCCCTTTGAAGACCCAAAAGTACTTCAATTCTAAGATACGGAGGTGTTGAAACTGAGTGATCAGCGCAACTGATGTTTCGGACCAGTCGAAGTGCAGGCGCATTTTGGTAACCCTGGGACAGCTGTGGACAAGCCTGGCTAGGAGAATGTGAAAGTTATTAACCTGGTCCATCTTGGTAATATTGTCTTGATGAGAACTAGAACTGGTGTGGACACGAAGGTCAAGAGGTTCCAGCAGTGTAAATGTCCAGTTCAAGTCTAAATGACTGAGATCCCGGCAATGCACATTCTCTAGAAGGTGTGACAGGAGCTCTCCCCATTTATTGCACTGGTCCCCTAGATCAAAACTGGCCTTCAGAGTGAGCAAACTAGCCCCACGGGATATAAGATGATGTACATCTTTTGTTCTAAAGTTCGCTCAGTGGAACAATTTAAGTCAAACTATCGTGATGGTCTGACTGAGCTCCTAATTTAAAAAAAAAAAGCGTTTTAATTAGAGAGAATTAATCAGCACTTTAGAGCAAACTAAGCGGCTAAACTGTGCTGAGAATCCCTGTGAGAGACTGCTGTTGTTCTCGGCGAATGACGTCATCAGTGTGCGTGCTGCAGCCTCTGGTGTTTATGGCTGATCCGGGAACAGCTCTGTGGATGTTCTCCTGCTGGTAGTTAAAACAGGATTCAGACTGAAAAAACTGATCCAAGGACAGACTCAACATGCTTTTCGATTTCTGCTGTCATTAGTTCCGCATCTAGCGGCAGTGGTATCTTTTTGTCACATTTCTACATGTATTTAACGAATATTTCACGCTGATCGATATTATTAATGATATCTAAAACATATCTAAAACGTATTCTACAGCGTGTATCTGGTAACGTAGCTATACATCACACAGACTGGTGATGGGAAGTCGGAATCATTTCGGAGAATCGGTTCTTTCGAACAGTTCGATTCAATGAACTCGTTTAAAACGCAGTTTTAACTGTTCTTTTACGTCATCCCGTTGTACCTGCGTGCTATGAACGTTACGGTAAAGCCACATGTAGGCACATGCCTGTTTAATATGTTTTTTAATGAATCTGATCCAAATAGTCTATTTGTGTGTAACCTTAACACTTTTCACTTTTGATATTATCAATGTTCTGATGTAGGCCTATGCATGCATAAACTGTGTTTGTTTATTTAAATGTGTATTTGTTGACTTTGTCTAGTTGTTTTTCTTTATTGTTCTGCAGTGTTGATATTTTTAAGTAAAGATTATGTTAAAAAAGGTCATGCCTGAAAGAGACTTTTCAGTGCTCCACTCTCAAAACGTTATGAATCACACAACAACAGACTTGTGGCACAATATATTTTCAATACTACTAAACAAAAAGTTAGTTGTGAGTATCTGCATAAAACACAGATAATTGGAATATATATATATATATATATATATATAATTTACATACTTCAGGAAAGTTTTCAATACAAAACAAATAATGAGAGACAGTTTGCAATACAATTATTATAGCTGATTAGGGTACCATTTCTCTACGTGCACACGACTTACAAAAATACATTGTTTTTCACTGTTCCATATACCTGCAGATGTTATTTACATTAGAAGTTGCTAGAAGAAAAGTTAAAAGCAGAAAAGTGTACATTTGTGAGAGGCGGTGGGATGCTGTTGCTGCTCCACGGAAACACAAGCGCACTGAGCCGCAAGTGCACATTTAAAGGGGTACAACAACAACGCTGTCTTTGTATACATCTGAGTTTGTCGAGGCGTTTATAGCGCTTGATCAACATCCAGCCACATTTTCTTTGTGCGACGGTATTATATGGACAGTTTGGGGGGTAGAAAGAAGAAGCGAGCGTCAAATTAGCGCCGTTAATTCAAACATTTTGGGTCTATTTCTTTCTGAGGCGGCTCGGTTATCCTGTCGTCTCTGTTGATCTGGAAACGGCCGCCATCTTGAATTTTAATGTAATATTTTCTGACAAATGTTGGCAATATGACATTTTTGGATTGCATTGGACTCTGGTGATGGATAAACCTTAACGCGGGAGAGAATAAAGTGAGTATTTATAGTACTGCATGGATATGCTAACCGAGATCCCTCCTGCTCAGGGCTTTTCCGGGTGTCGCCTAGCAATCTCGCAGTTAGCTGCACGTTAGGCCTAGTGTGATACTCATTTTATTTTCGGTTAATGTCAATATCTTTAAAGAAAAAAAAAATTATGGGGTACAATCATGCTCTTATATGTATTATTACAGTGCTGGAATATCCGTCAGGAACTCCGTTTTAGATATCTTTGCTCTGCCGGTTCGGCAAGTCTCATTGTTTTGTTAGGTCGATGCTAACCTAGTTAGCGTTCATCGAATGTTTACTTTAACTGCTAATTTAGACCGTTAGCCCCACATTAAGCGACCTAGCTCGTTGCAGTAACACTTTAAAGTCATTGTATTATCTCACCATTGCATTTAGGTTTAGTAAAGCAGTAATTTGGGGCATAGACTTAAATGTGGTTTGTGTTGGGATTTAAATACACCGTCGCTTACATGGGAGTGTTTTAGCTACTGTGGATAGGTCTGCCAATATAAGTTATCAAACATAATTTATGCGTAAGATTAATTTTATGAAATATTGGTCGATGTGGCATTATTTTCAAGACAATCTCGATTGTGAATTCAAGGTTTGTAGTTTAATTGAAGGCAGCTTTTGTTATTTCCAATAGCATCCAGGGGGTGACGCTCTATACTCAAGAATATTTGAAAAGTAATCAACGTCTCGAAACACTTTTTTTTCTCATTCACTGCATGCTAATCATGAATTCAGCCACTAATATGCTTGTTGAAATTGTGTTCGAATTACGAATATTGATCAAATACATTTATACGTTGATAAGCAGAATATAATAATGATTTAATATTTTATGTAGGTGAAGTAACATCAGAAGAAACAAGTGAAGTTTGATTTGGAGTATCCTGGTAGATAAGACGACCGATCAGGCTTCAGCCCAGTGGTTTCTGCTGTCTCCTTGTTGAATGGTTTCTCAGAAGCACACAGAAGCTCAATGCGCCTTCTCCAGACCGCCAGCTGGTATGAAGTAGATGGGAGAATCCAAGAACATGGTGCTGAATGGCAGGAGACATGGCAGCAAGTTCTCCAGTAATCAGCCCGTAAGCAAGTCCAGGCTGCAAAACACACAGGGAGCCCATCTTCGTCAAAGCAAGGGCTCCCCGAGTGGTAGAAGATGCAGTCGACGTAAGTTCCTCGCAAAACCATCAGTATATTTGTTTTTCCAACCTCTTCAACTATTAATACAGCATCTTGGTCCTGTTCTCAATGGTTATTCATGCTGAATCCTCTAACAGGTTGTGGTGGGGTGCCCCCGGAGGCAGAAAGGCGCCATGCCCCCTCATCTGGAATGACTGCCAAGGAGCTGTGTGAATATGATGATCTGAGCACCAGTTTGATCCTGGATCCTTACCTTGGCTTCCAGACCCACAAGATGAACACCAGGTTTGTGTTTCTAGTTTGGTGAATTCAAATTCTCAGTGTCTGCAGTCAGGAAGCTTGTCTTTCATGTTAACGTGATGCTCCTTTTTAGGTTTCGACCAATTAAAGGTCGGCAAGGGGAGCTGAGAGAAGTGATCGAGCTTTTTAAGAAGCATGACAACCTGGAAAAAGCTTTTCAGGCTTTGACTGCTGGCGACTGGACGAGACATCACTTTCTCAACAAGACCAAGTCCCAGGAAAAGCCCTTCAAAGCGCATGTAAATCATACATATTCAAAGATCTCCCCACATTTTTTTTTATCTCATGTCCTGGCATGTCTATATTAATGTGTAAACAATTTTAATTGATAAATATGAAATGCTTAGCATTACATATTAAATTAAATATAAAAAAATTTAAAGCTTGTTTAATATTTATTTATAGAATGAATATTAAAATGTAATAGTAATATTTGTTTGTTGGCTTCAGATATTTAAATATTAATATTAAATATCATATTTTATATTTAAATATTAATATTGCTTATTTAATGATGAAATTACTATTTAAAATTTTACTATTTGTATATGTGACACGTGCTGGCAAAATGAGTCAGAATGGGCACGGGCTAATTTTGAGCTACAGGCACAAAAAAAAAAAAAAAAGTGAAAAATG